GCTCCCCAACTGTTCTAGCTTGATCTTCTCCTTCCTTTCTTGCAATAACACACAAATTGGTGAACAAATAGCCTCTTATCTCACTCACAAGGACTCTCAGCTGCTTTGGTGCACTCAAGGCTCAAGGTGGCCGCAATGAAGGGCCATAAGGTCCTTTAAATAGGGCTTAGGACCGGAAAATTAGGGTTTCATTAAACAGCGTTGACTCGCCGAGTCTATCCCTTGGACTCGCCGAGTCCAGACGCGAACCTTCGCCCAAAACCGCGACCCGACTCAGTGAGTTCGACCTCAAACTCGCCGAGTCCCCTCACAAAATACCAAAAATATGAAATTAAAGATACCTGGAAATACGGGCTGTTACAATTCTCCCCCACTAGAACAAGACTTCGCCCTCGAAGTATCGCTCTGCAAATAGCTCCGGATGCTGCTCACGCATCTCACGCTCCGGCTCCCAGGTCATCTCTGATCCCTTCCGATGCTACCACTGAACCAACACCAGGGGTACCTCCTTGTTCCTCAAAACCTTGATCTTCCGATCTCTAATGGCTACTGGTCTCTCAGCATAATTCAGGCTTGCATCCACCTGAATATCCCCTAATGGAACCACTCCCGATTTGTCGGCTATACACTTCCTCAACTGCGACACATGGAAAGTGTCATGAATCTACCCCAACTCTGCTGGAAAGTCTAAACGGTAGGCTACCCGGCCCACCCTCGCGATCACACGGAAAGGACCAATATATCGGGGCCCCAACTTGCCCCTCTTCCTGAATCGAATCACTCCTTTCCAAGGAGAGACCTTCAGGAGTACAAGATCACCGACCTGAAACTCAAGCTCGGACCGACGTCTGTCTGCATAACTCTTCTGTCGGCTCTAAGCGGTCAACAACCTCTGCCTGACCAGCTAAATCTGCTCGGTCGTCTGGAGTACGATCTCCGTGCTACCCATAACCCGCTACCCTACCTCACCCCAACAGATGGGGGTGCGACACCTCCACCCATACAACAGCTCAAAGGGTGGCATACCAATGCTCGAATAATGGTTGTTGTTGTAGGAAAACTCTGCCAAGGGTAAATATGCATCCCAGCTACCCCCGAAATGCAACACACATGCCCGGAGCATGTCTTCGAGCATCTGAATCGTCCGCTCACTCTGACCGTCTGTCTGGGGATGATATACGGTACTAAATGCAACCTAGTACCCAACTCCTCATGAAACTTCTTCTAAAACCTGGAAGTGAAATGCACATCACGGTCTGAAATAATCGAGATCGGCACTCCATGCCGCGATACTACCTCCCTCACATATAACTCCGCCAACTTCTCCGCAGAAGAGCTCTCACTGATGGCTAGAAAATGAGCGCTCTTCGTCAATCTATCCACGATCACCCAAATCGCATCGGCTCCCCTCGCAGTCCGCGGTAACTTGGTGATGAAATCCATAGTGATTTGTTCCCAATTCCATTCGGGAATATCTAGCAGTTGCAGCTTACCATGCGGGCGTTGGTGCTCGGCCTTGACCTGCCGACAAGTCAAGCACCTCTCGACAAACCAAGCGACATCCCTTTTCATACAGGGCCACCAGTACTCCTTCCTTAGATCCAAATACATTTTCGTAGCACCGGGATGAATCGAGAATTTCGATCGATGTGCTTCCTCCATCAAAATAGTATGCGCACCGCCCACAAACGGTACCCAAATCCGACCCTGAAAAGTCATAAGCCCTCGACCATCCGTGACGAATCCTGAAACTTAACCTACAACCCGCTCCCTCTTCTGATGTTCTGGCTTCGCAGCCTCTGCCTGAGCTCCTCGAATAATATCCAAAATTGGAGTCAATACCGTCAATCTCATACAAATATCTCGGATCAGGGCGCTTTCCGCCCTACGGCTCAATGCGTCGGCTACCACATTAGCCTTGCCCGGGTGGTACAGGATCTCACAATCGTAATCCTTCACCACATCCAACCACCTCCTCTGTCGCATATTCAGATTTGGCTGATCCATCAAGTACTTCAAGCTCTTGTGGTCCGTGTATATCGTACACCGAACCCCATACAGATAGCGTCGCCAGATTTTGAGGGCGAAAACCACAGCCCCCAACTCCAGATCATGGGTGGGATATCTCATCTCATGAGGCTTCAACTGCCTTGAAGGATACGCTATCACATGACCTCTCTGCATAAGCACCGCCCCCAAACCTGATATAGAGGCATCACAGTACACCGCAAAATCCTCCATCCCTTCCAGGAGTGCAAGCACCGGAGCCTCGCACAATTTCTGACGAAGCGTCTCCAATGAGGATTGCTGCTCTGATCCCCATGAGAACGTAACACCCTTCTGGGTCATCCTAGTAAGTGGCACGGCGATCTTGGAGAAGTCCTTGATAAACCTGCGATAATATCCAGCCAAACCCAGAAAACTCCTGATCTCGGTGGGCGATCTCGGCACCTCCCACCTCAACACCGCCTCAATCTTGGCCGGGTCGACCAATATCCCTTTCCGATTAACAAGATGCCCGAGGAACTGGACTTCTCGTAACCAGAAATCACACTTAGAGAACTTGGCATACAGTCTCTCCGATCTCAAAACCCCAAGAATCTCCCTCAAATGTTCCTCATGTTGATCCTTAGACCTCGAATACACCAAAATATCATCAATGAATACAATCACTGACCGATCCAGCATCGGCCGGCACACCCGGTTCATAAGATCCATGAACGCAGCCGGGGCATTGGTGAGCCCAAAAGGCATCACCACAAACTCATAATGTCCATAACGAGTTCTGAAAGCAGTCTTCTGGATATCTTCCTCTCGAACCCTCATCTGATGATACCCCGACCTCAAGTCAATCTTGGAGAACCAAGATGCCCCCTGCAACTGATCGAACAGATCGTCGATCCTAGGTAACGGATACCGGTTCTTAACCGTCAACTTGTTCAACTCCCGGTAATCGATACACATCCGATGTGAACCATCCTTTTTCTTGACGAACAAAATCGGCGCTCCCCAAGGTGAGCTACTCGGTCGAATGAATCCCTTTCCTAACAACTCCTGAAGCTGCGAGGATAACTCCTGCATTTCCGGTCGAGCGAGACGATAAGGCGCCTTGGCGATGGGCGCCGCTCCCGGAACCAAATCGATACGAAACTCCACATGGCTCTCCGGAGGCACACCCGGTACCTCTTTGGGGAACACATACGAAAACTCGCCAAGTCCCCTCACAAAATACCAAAAATATGAAATTAAAGATACCTGGAAATCCGGGCTGTTACACCCATAATAATATAATTATTATATTCAATCATCAAACAATCAACCCAATTACCCATCTACATTATCTTCGTTTAATCTTCCCTAAAGATATTATCCTAAGGTTCATCTCCTATATCATATTTACATCTCATCTCCTTACATCTTATTTTCTTATATGTTTGTTCCTAAGAACTTTTCCTAAGGATCATTGCCTACATCGTATAGACAATACTAATTCGGGGATCACTCCCTCAATATGTGTCTAGTAAGGGTTTGGGTATCATCGCATGATTACGCAGCCACAACATCGTCTGGACTCGTAAATCATAATAAGGGTTAGACTATCATCGCATGAATACGCAGCCACAACATCGCCTGGACTCGTAATTCACTATCTATCTATCGTCACCTAATTAGCATCACCATTATATCCTCACATATCTCTTATCACATGATTTCATTACACACCAACTATTTCATCTATCCATATTCTACTCAACATATTTGAGATATAAATTACATATACAGTTTAAAACTATTTAAAAACCTTTATAAAACATTCATTCAACATCCATCTTAAGTAAAGAACAATATATAAACACATAACACGTATTTCATAGCAAATACTTCATATCTATGTGTTAGAAGAAAGTAACTACACACTCACACCAAACATATACTTAATACATTCAAAAAATACTTATATTACATTTTTGTTTATGAAAGGGACTATACACTCACTTGGTCAGAAGATGATCGGACAACACTACGGCTCTATGAGTAATAATACTTTTTCGGTGAAACCGGGATCACTTCGCACATCGGGCTTCTCGCGGGCAGAGCTTCGGCTCAGAAACTCTTTTCTTCTCGGGATCTTCGGGCTTCGGGACTTGCTTTGGGTCTCGGGATGATACCAGGGCTTCGGGAGGGGGGGGGGGTGAAAATAGGGCTTAGAGAGGTTATCGGGAGTGAGAGAGAAGAGATTGAGCAACCATACTTGGCTGCCCCTTGAATTCTATTTATAGGGCCTTTTTTCAAGATTCACGTCGTGAATCTCAAATATTCACGTCGTGAGTTCAATAGTTATCAGGTGCGTCATCGCAACTTGCGACTTTCAGGCTCCAAAAGTCATAAATACTGAGTTCACGTCGTGAGCACTGTATTCACGTCGTGTACTCTGACAGTTTTTGGGTATTCACGTGCGCCACGAACTTCAGAAATTCAACAACTTTACATCTATCGTAATAATACTTGTTATGAAAAATAGGTGATACACTATGTTTGTCCGACATTGACTATGACAGTTCGAAGTGTACTCATACTAGATTCCAATATAACTTTATACCTAACCAATGTTCAAAAACTCTCGTCGTATGTCCATCATGGAGCCGTGGCTCCACGGTTTGTACTTGCCGCTATGGTTGATAAAATGTCGCCTTATATTATTTAATACCTTGCACCTAACTAATACCTACTCTACATCACACAATACTCTAAAATGTCGTGTTGCTGAGAAAATGATCAGTTTACAAAAACCGGAAAAATATGGTTGGTTTGTTAATAAAGCTGTTTATATAAGTTACTTTAGTTGATTACCCTGAGTATTTGATTGTTAATTGTATTGTTTGAAGTTCAACAAAACATTAATTTTCGGAAACTATAAATGGGTAAAAATAATGGATCCCACATTTAACAAGATTGTGGGACTTTAAGGTAAATTACTCATGTAAGGGATAATATATCATGTGGGTTTTGTTCTGATCAAGAAGTTCCTAGAATCTCTTCGTCAATCTCCCATAAATGAAACTATACAAGTCAACATGAGAATCACCAAATATACTTCTTACATCCAGCATATTCAAGACTGAGTGTAAGAACTTGTGCCCCATTTGAACGGCCTAGGATGCTTCCTGACAACATCTTTGCAATCCTACCTAGAGTATAATTTTAAAAAATGGACAAAAGAAACGTGTCAACTCTTCCATTGACTTTCTTACAGATAATGTTTAGAAAAGATGAGATGGAATTGATGTCTTGCAGGTTCTAAGATCAAGAAATTGACATCCTCATCAAGACGATATTTAACAATTCGGAACATATGCAAGAGTGGATATGTCATTGATTTAGAATGACCATGTTGTTATAGCCAGCCGTCAATTAAGAATTCGGGGGCTTTCATAATAATGAGATGAAATAAATAAATAAAACAAACTATCAAACGAAGGAGATACAATTACGTTCACGAAACTTGCTACGAGCAACTTTAATTATTTAATGAAGTTATTGCTAATGGGTACACACCTATGTGATTAAAGATTTAATTAACAAATTTAGCAGAACCATCAACTTCATTCCCAACCATACATATGGAAGTAAATAAAACAGTTGTATTAGTGGTTGATAGTTAGAACTTCTTAATGAAATCATAAATGATGGCAGTAGATTCCTGAGGCTTTTCCTGGTTTAGAAAGTGACCCACACCTTCCATTACCACAACTTCTTCGAGCAATGGCACATCTTTCTTAAACCCACCACCATGAACGTACTCTTTTAACCCTGGTGTTGTGTACACCATATCTTCATCTCCTACTACATATATCACTGGTACATTCACTTGTACTCCACTCCATGCTGCCGTAAGCTCCCAATTCCTTTTTACAACAAAGAAATGTTAGCGCATACAGCAACATACGTATGAAACTAGTCAACAGTTAATTATTTTCCAATTGGGTGAAGTCTGGTCTTGGATACTTTAGTCAAACCCTAATTGTATCCCATAAAAGAGCATGATTTATGCTAATGTGACCCTCAATCCAACCTACTAGAGCATGATTCACATATATCATTAATTTTTTTGCCAAATCAAAAACCAATTAACGTAATAAACCAAAACGGTAAAACCTCAAAATATGTTCACTTCGCAAGTATGTTTTTTCACAAAATTTCCATATCGGTTTACCAAAACAGAAAAGCTAGCTATAGCTTTCTAATAAATAAAAGATTATTAGGATTATGAATAATTTCTATGTTCAAAATTTCAAAAATATAAGAGAATGATATGTTTTAAAAAGGGATTTAAAATAAATTCTTTAAACTTGATGTATGTATATTTGATAATAGTGAAAAACAGTCGGCATTGCTCTAAGCTGCCTATTAATTGTGATCCTCAAGATAAACATGTGATTAAAATAAGGGTGATGTTATACCTACCCTATTTTCAATAAGGATTGGTTAAATGGACATCCCATTTTACTATTTAGACACTTCATATAATTTTTAAAATTTTTTATTGGTTAAAATTATATTGTTTTTTGAAAAAGATAATTAAAAATAGTTACCTATCGGTTGGCTTTCAATAATCCTATACCCTTTTAATTATTATCTTTTTGATAGTTTTTTAAAAGCAAAACTTTATGTCACATTAACTATATCATATATAATCTTTATGTTTTTTTTTTATATTTTTTGGATGTTTATTAAAATGTTTTTAACCAATAGTGTTTAAAAAATATAAGTTTAATAATTATTTTTTTATGTATCTAAGTGAGAAAATTATTTATATACAATAACAAATAAATTTCTTGAAAAATATTTTTATATGTATATGATTTAAGTGGAACGTTGGTCAACAACCATTGGTCCCATGCATGAAAACAATAACTAATCTAGAAGATCGAGCATCGCCTCCAAAGTTATTAGCCAGCAAGTATATAGTCTCAGTTATCTAACTAACAACCAACATCTATATCCAATTAATTACACCAGCAAGGAAGATCTTGTTAACAAAATTAAGACACCTAACTATTAATTTATCAATTTTGAAAATATTATAATATCTCCATTAAGTTATGAGGATCGTCCATTTGGTGCGAAACAATTTATGCATTTTATGTCACTTTTTATTTTCATTTTGACCACCGATTTTGTAGTTTTTCTCAAAATTTTCGTCTCTATTATAAAATGACGTTCTCTCTGTTTTTGCTGATACCAACGAACGAAAACCGCATTGGCTGTTTTCCAATGAGGTAGGCAGCCACGTCTAGAAAAGATGTGGGAATGGATATTGGGGGATGGGGGGGGGGGGGGGGGGGGTCCTTATTGTTTAGATGTTAAAGTAATAATGTAATTAATAAAAAAATAATTAAAGGTAAAATTATCATTTTAATTTCACCCGAGACAAAATCACAAACAAAGCCAAATTCATGAAGACCATACAAATCCAATTCTAGAGTAAACATGCAGATTGCTCAAAAGAGGATCTCAAACCACAAGGACGATCTATGTAATTTATTCTAAAGTTTTTTTTAATCAATTTATATATTGGAACCACAAATTCACATTTATATTATTATATTGTTTCTTAAGTAACCGACTATATATATATATATATATATATATATATATATATATATATATATATATATATATATATATATATATATATATATTATAGTTCGTTGAAGATTTAATAAAAACTTCACAACATATATATATATATATATATATATATATATATATATATATATATATATATATATATATTTTAGAAAATAAAAACTAAAAGGAAAAGCTCATACCATCAAAATAAAGCTTTTACAAAAGTTGTTTACGGTGAAATTTTTTTTGTAAAAACTTATGTGGATGCTCTAAGGTTAGAAAAGGGTGTATACATTTAACCCTATGAGTACGTAGGACCCATGTGCAACCAAGCATTGGCTGTAGAAAACCCGAACCTCAAACATATAGGCCAAGGTGGCCTACCCACTTGCTAACATCCAACGTACCTATTCATTTATTAGGATAAACAAGTACTTTCTTGCTATTGCTAATGCATCCAGTAGGACCAATAACTAGGTGGTTGAGAATACTTACAGATCCAAAGCACGGTAATAGTTAAATGCTCCTGTGAAGCCCGTTTGATCAAATATTTCAACGTTATACTTAAGGTCCTCTTCAGATAACCAAGTTGGTAATGGCAGTGGAGCATTCAATCCTTTGAGTTGGAATGGATCCGATTTAGGCAAACAAGGTGGTCCTGGTTTCCTATCAGTTAGAATTTTCTTAAGCAATTCCCCTGTTTCATAGCTTTTTAACTCTGCTTCGATTACTCCAGATTCCTGAAAATAACTAACATTCACTTTATTTATGTTTCAAAAGGGGAAATTTTGTTTATAATGTGAAACATGTTAGGGTGGTATATATCGAAAGTATTGTTGGGGTGAATGGAGAAGACCTCTATGGGAAAAGAAAGTACAAAAAGATACACCATTTTCTAAAAAATCTTTGGAGACTGTCTACGTTAAAAAAAATCTTAAATGCGTATTAACTTTTAGGTCGTTCTTACCGGTCACGTTTCATTAATTTCAGTCTCATGCAGGGGTACTGTTTTTTGTGACAAAACCAGTAGTGAGGTCAAAACTCTTTTCAGTTGTCTCTCTCAGAAAAATAAAATCAATTGTATAACACAACATTTATGGTGGGTGCCTACTAACGAAATACAGAACTAAGGAAATAAAACATTTGGATCAAAAGAAGATTTCATCTACAGTGAAGTGTTTTAACATTAAAAAATGGATTTTAGAGAGAGAGAGAGAGAGAGAGAGAGAGAGAGAGAGAGAGAGAGACCTGAAACCTGCACATGTAGTAATCTTCACCAAAGAAAGCTCTCATGGTTTCAATGGGCTTCATCTTGGGGTTACGAGGCCGGTATGGTACAGACATGCAGGCATACGCCTTCACCTTGTCAGGCCTAAACATGCAAAGGTACCACCCGATCATTGCACCCCAGTCATGCGCCACCAGGTAGACCGGTTTTCCACCGAGCGATTCTATGAGAGCCACCAGGTCACCCACCACATGGAGACAGGTATAGCTGGTTGGAGACGGCGGAGCATCAGTGTTGCCGTATCCACGGAGGTCAGGGGCGACGCAGTGGTAGCCTAGGGCGGCCAACGATTGGATCTGGTGGCGCCATGTGTACCAGAGCTCAGGGAAGCCATGAAGGAAGAGGATTGTTGGGCCTTCGCCCTTTTCGGCAATATGCATGTCGATTCCATTTACCCTCAGTGTTCTGTGCTCGATGCCCTCCATTGCGTACTCAAAGTGCACAAAAGCAGAGGTTGTAATCGAAAGTAGGTCAACAGTGGGTGGAGTCTCACTCCATTTATAAAGGCTGAGAAATTTTTTTAGAAAACATATATCGAGAAAGAAATATATTATCCATGAACTATAAGTATTTATTGAAACTTAAAAGAAATATATATATATATATATATATATATATATATATATATATATATATATATATATATATATATATATATATATATATATATATATATATATATATATATATAAAAGTTATTATCCATGAAATACAAGCATTTATAGTTAAAGTAAAGGTTGTAAGAATGCCTATCGAAAACATGGATTTTTATATTATCCAAAATTGATATTAAGTTCAAAAATGATTTTTATACCAACCATAACTCATATTTCTCGTTTAATATATGTTTTAAGACTATATAGGACGAAACCCAACCACAGAGAGTTTTATTTTTATTTATTTATTTTGCATAAATAGGGTGTTTTTGAAAATACTTTGCAAAATAAGTTGTTTTTTAAATCAGTTTGCAAAAATAGAATGAAAAATCAGAAGTTTTCTTAGTCCTTCGTAATTTGTATTTTGAGTCATTCACTTATATTGGGACTACCAATTTTAGAAAGAAATTTGTCATTTTTAATTAGTAAAAATGCTTGCATAAACCATGAAATTTCAACATAATTGTTTTCAAATCCACATTCATTACAACTTTGTTTAAATCATCAAAGTCTCCCAAAATACTTGAAACAAATACACAAATGGCAATCTTGAAAGCTTACTGAGTTCCCCAGAGCACACCCACACACAAACACATACAACATATCATGCTAGCTAAAAGCCATACAGAACACATAAGCCATGCAAACAATACATAAGGAAGCCCTGGAAACCCTCAAGGGTCTTACTCTGGGTGCCATGGGAACCCCCAGATGGTCTTAGCCCAATGCATCGAGAACCCCCAGGGTCTTTGACCTAGGATGTCAAGGAAACCCTCCAAGGTCTTACACCTAAGTGCCGCGGGAACCCTCCGAGGTCTTTGACCTAGGATGCTAAGGAAACCCTCTAAGGTCTTACACCTAAGTGCCCCGGGAACCCCTCAAGGTCTTCCATACACAATACACAGAAACAACTAGCACATTACATATCAAATAGTCCAAATAGCATATACATAACAGTTAATGGGTTGACCTTGGTGCCTTCGGCCCATTGGTATGGTGTGGAGACTCACCACTGATTGCTGAATACAAAAGCTGCTCTCCTAACAGTCTACAACCTTTGATGCTGAATAATAATATTAGATAATGTTAGGACTTTGATTAACCAAGGGAGACCCAAACTCTCAACCCTTCAATAAGGCCTAATTATCCATCCCTTGCTAATGGGCCCAAAGTCCAAGTCCAAAATCCTTAATGGGCCACTTGGCCCAATAAGGCCCAATCAATATAACTATGACTCGATAAGGTCCAATCCGAAGCTGAGACACATTGAAGGTGTTGTGGATCTCGCTAAGCTACTCTGGCAGCTCCAATCGATATGCCACCTTGCTCACTCGAACCGTGATCCTAAACGGGCCTATGAACCGAGGCCCCAACTTGCATCTCTTTCGAAATCTGATGATCCATCTCCAGGGCGACACCTTCAGCAATACAAGATCCCCTACTTGAAATTCGAGACACGAAGGCCATCGGTCAACATAGCTTTTCTGACGGCTCTACGCGACTCACAATCGGTCGCGCACCTCCTGAATTAATATGGTAGTCTTGAGCACTACCTTAGTGCTCCCCATGACCCGATGGCCAACTTCGTCCCAACACACTTGGGTCCTGCACGTCCGACCATACAACATCTTAAATGGGTCTCGATCGATATTAGCATGATAACTTTTGTTGTACGAGAACTCTGCTAGTGGGAGATATGTATCCCAACTCCCTCCAAAATCTAGTACGCATGCACAAAGCATGTCCTCCAGCGATTGGATCGTCTTATCCTCTATCGCATGTTGAGGTTCTGCCGATCCATCAGATACTTCAGACTCTTGTGATCGATATATATATAGTGAACCGCACTCCATATATAAATAGTGCCTCCAAATCTTGATGGAAAACACCACCGCCCCAAATTCTAGGTTATGAGTGGGGTAATTCACCTCATGAGGCTTCAACTACCTTGAGGCGTAAGCTATCACATACCCCCTCTACATCAGTACCACACCTAACCCTGAGATCGACGCGTCACAATACACCACCAAATCATCTAACCCCTCAGGTAGTACTAGAACCGTAGCCTCGCTTAACCTCCTCCTCAGGGTCTCAAAAGCCATCTGATGATCTGCACCCCACCGAAAAGTCAATTTTTTCTTGGTGAAGCAGGTCAATGGCACAACAATCTTGGAGAAATCCTAAATAAATCTCTGATAGTAGCCCGTTAAGCCTAAGAAGCTATGAATCTATGATGCATTCTTCAGTACTTGCCACCGCATCACAACCTCAACCTTGGCCGGGTCAATCGAAATACCCTTATGATTGATGATATTCCCCAAAAACTGTACTTCCCGTAGCCGAAAATCACACTTGGAGAACATCGCATAAAGTTTCTCCGCCCTAAGGGTCTCTAATACCTCCCTCAAATGTTGCTCGTGTTGCTCCCTGGTCTTAGAGTAGACCATAATATCATCAAGAAAAGAAATAACCGACCGATCCAGTATCGGCCTACACACTCTGTTCATGAGGTTCATGAATGATGTTGGGGAGTTGGTGAGCCCGAACGACATCACCACAAACTCATAGTGCCCATATCGAGTTCTGAAAGCCGTCTTCAGTATATCCTCATCCCGAATCCTCATCTAATGATACCAATTGCGAAGATCAGTCTTGGAAAACAAAGACGCACCCTAAAGCTGATCAAGCAAATCATCGATCCTTGGCAATGGATAACGGTTCTTTACCTTCAGTTTGTTCAACTCCCTATAATCGATGCACATTCTGTACAATCCATCCCTCTTTTTCACGAAAGGAATCGGTGCCCCCCACCGGGAATTGCTCGGACGGACGAACCCTTGGTCTAACAACTCTTGAAGCTGTGTAGATAACTCCTGCGTCTCCGGTGGTGCCAACCGATATGGAGCTTTTACTATTGAAGTGACACCAACACCAAGTCAATACGAAACTCCACCTACCTCTCTAGAGGCACTCTTGGTAAATCTTCTAGGAAAACGTCCTGAAAATCTTGTACAACTGGCACACTGCCCGCATCCATCGTGGTCTCTACCCTGCTATCCAATATGTAAGCCAGAAATCCCATGCAACCCTACTGTAGGAACCTCCTAGCCCTCGCTGCCGAACAGAGGGTCGATCCCTACGAGGCCCTCTCGCCATGAATAACTAGTCTCCCCCACTTGGGGTTCGAACCTTGACCAACTGGCGCTCGCAATCCAGCATGGCACCGTTGGCCCCTAACCAGTCCATCCCGACAATCACTTTCGACCCTCGCAACTATATCAGAACTAGATCAACACAAAACCTTTCGCCCATCACATTTAGGACACAACCCTGATATACCCTCGCATGACTAATGGTGCGGTCGTATGCAATCTCTACCTCAAGAGGGGAATCCAAGGTCCCCGACACGTGGCTGAACTTCTTGCTAAGCGCAAGTGACACAAATGATCGGGTAGCACCGAATCAAACAAGACATGAACATGCATGCCATTGACCAAAAAGGTCACTATATAATCATATAATACACATAAGTCGCATAAATCATAATAAGTAGAGAATAATAGATACGTACCAGCCACAACGTCTGGTGCTACCCGAGCCTCCTCGATGGTCAACTGAAATGTGCGGCTCTTCACCGCCGGAACATCCGCCTTGGCAGGGCGGCCATCGGTAATCCTCAATGTGGCGGGTACGGGCACCAGCACTGCTCCCCCCCTCCTTGCAACTTCAGACAATCGGCCTGCTTGTGGCCGGTCTAGTTGCAGTGAAAACATATAAAGCCCTTCTTGGGGTAGTCTTTGCTCACGTGGCACGGCTGACTATAGGTATACCACACCGTGCCCTGTCCCCTACAAGCTCCTCCATGTGACTTCCTACACTTGGCGCATCGGCCCCGACCCTGTTGATCTCGACTAGATGAATCTGAGGTCTTTGGCTTTTTAGCCTGACCTACTGCTGCCTGGGCCTACTTAGGCTTCCGCTTCGTGCAGAAGACCAACACCATTTCCCGCTCGTGGGCCTCCTCCACCATCTCAGTTAGGTTGTTGCACCCCCGTAAAGCTCACAAACTCTCTAATATCATCCATCAGCATGGAATGATATCGAGTACGCCTCAACTCCTCATCGGTAGCATATTGCGGAATCAACAAAGATTGTTCCTGAAACTTGGCAGTAATCTCCGCCACAGTCTCGGTGGTGTGCTGCAAGTCATGAAACGCCTTCACCAATCATTGCACCTCAATAAGTTGTGCAAAATCCAAATCAAATCGACGAACAAACTTGTCCCATGTCATCTCTACCACCCCTGTTGGCCCCATCTGGCTAGTAACCTCGCCTCACCAATCTCAGGCCATATCCCTCAAGATACACGAAGTAAACCCAACCTTTTATGCATCTGGGTAGGAACTCGTGCTCTAGGCATTCTTGATATCCGCTACCCAACGTCGGCTGAGAGTGGGGTCCCTGACCCCGAAAAACTCTGGCGCCCCACACGACTTGAACTCCCGAAATAAGGGAGTTTGAGCCCCAATCTGAACCGTCGCCAACTCAGCCCTGAAGGATCTGAGTCTCTCCTCCATAATCTCTATAATGCCCTCCTTGACTGTCCCGAAAATGACCGGGGTCACATCAAGGATTCCCCTAGTAACCTCGACTGCAATGAGCTCGCACAGCCTCTCATCGATGACATCGATAGTGTCTCCCAATCCCAACCCGGATCCAGACCCCGATCCTGATCCTCCTGCTCCAAATCGTATCACCACCATGATGGACTGAAATATCATAAATTACAATGATCAGGATTTCCATATAAGGGATCTTCCCACGCCAGTCCTCCTTGAAATCATCAGATCTAACATTGGTTTGGGTACAGGTCCTGTGCTTTCAGTAGTAGGGGCCCAATACTACCTTCCAC